AGAGGCCGGCCATGCAGGAGCCCCTGCTGGGGGCCGAGGGCCCGGACTACGACACCTTCTCCGAGAGGCCGCCCGCGTCGCCGTCGCCCCGGGAGAGGGCGCGGGTGGGGTGAGAGCCGGGCGCGGCCGGGGCTGGGGGCGGCGTGGCCCTGGGCCCCACCGAGACGCGGGGGGGGGCCTCCTCCGCACGCGGTAGTCCTGTGTGATGCACTTGGCCCGGGAGTCCAGTCCAGGCGCGGCTCAGGCTGCCCAAGGGGATGCCAAGACCCGCGGCGCAGGCCTGGGTGGCAGCGCTGGTGCAGAAGGCAGCCCCCACCCCCGGGAAGGGAGTCGGCCGGCCCGCGGGTGGGAGTCCGCGGGTGGCAGCGGGGCGCTCCCACGCCGGGGAGTTTCCCAGGGAAGTTGCGGTCAGGCGCGGGGAGCCGCCACCCCGTGATGCCCTGGCGCCCAGGACAGGGGGCCCTTCCGGGAGCAGGGACCCTCCCCACGCCAGCCAGCGTCCTCCCACCCAGGGTCCTACAGAACAAGAGGGTGTTCCTGGCCACCTTTGCCGCCGTGCTGGGCAATTTCAGCTTCGGGTATGCCATGGTCTACACGTCCCCGGTCATCCCTGCCCTGGAGCACTCGCTGGACCCAGCCCTGAGCCTGACCAAAGCCCAGGCGTCCTGGTTCGGGGTAAGGGCCGCCCTGCCTGGAGAGGGGCGGGGGTGGTGCTGGGGGGGCAGGGACCACTGGCTTTGTCCCAGCTAAGAACCCCCAAAAGCTTGGCCCAGAGGTCCCCCCAGAGCCCGCCCTTCTCCAGCCGGGGCTGGCGGCGGCCTGGATGGGCAGGGAGGTCAGACTCGCTGCTGGGAAATAAGGGGAAGTGAAAGGCGGCCTGGGAGGCGCAGACGGGACCTCACGTAACACTGGGCTTGAGGGTTTCTCAACAGCCCCAACACGGACAGCAGAGCAGACCCCTCCCCACCACGGGCAGGGACATCGGGTGCCATGGACAGAGGCGGTGGCTGGCGGTTGGCGCAGGGATGAGGGACACACTGGGAGCGCGGGGGCCGAGTGCCAGCACCGCAGCTGTCACCAGGGCGCCGCCAGGGTCCAGCGCCAGCGCCCCAGCCGAGACCCCCGGAGCTCGCCGAGCACCCCCAGTGTGCCCGACAAGGTGCCCGGCCACTGGTGGGGACGGCAACTCCGGCCGGACCTTAAACGCCAGGGGCTCCGGGTCGCCGACCCTCAGGCGCTGTCCTGGAGCGGTCGATGCTTACGCGGGAGGGGACGACGGGGTGGACGGCGCCCCGGGCAGGCGCCCCACGGCACCCGGCCAGCGGCGCACCTGCGCGGCCCAGCCGGGAGGCTCGGCACCGGCTGGCAGGCAGCACGCCCCGGCGGGCGGGGAGCCGGCGCCCACTCACCCGCCCCCTTGCAGTCGGTGTTCACCCTGGGCGCCGCGGCGGGGGGCCTGAGCGCCATGGTCCTCAACGACCTCCTGGGCCGCAAGCTCAGCATCATGTTCTCGGCGGTGCCATCGGCGGTCGGCTACGCGCTCATGGCCGGCGCCCGCAGCCTCTGGATGTTGCTGCTGGGGAGGACGCTGACGGGCTTCGCGGGGGGCCTCACCGCCGCCTGCATCCCGGTAAGCCGCGCCCGGTCAGGGGGGCCCTGCTCACCGGGCAGCGGGACAGCTGGCTTCGGGGACCCCGACGGCGGCAGCTGCCCGCTGTGCGCCCAGACTCCCCGCCCCGTTTCCTGCCATTGGTCACTGCTCAACGGGAGGCTCCGGGCAGAGGGAAGGGAAACCCGGCCGCAGCCTCGCGAGCCTCTGGCCGCCCTCGCTGGCGCCGGCAGGGTGTGCCCGGCACTTGGCAGAGAGCCCGGCAGCAGAGACAGCCTGCGCTGCCCTCTGGCCCCCTCGTCAGCCTGGAGCTCCTGCCCACTGACGTGAGCCAGCGGGAGGCCCGCCTGCGTCCCCGCCAGGACAGAGGCCCCGCGAGCCCGCTCCTGCTCCCGCTCCCCTCCGCAGGCTCAAGCGCCCCTGACGCGGCCGCGTGTCTCGCAGGTGTACGTGTCTGAGATTGCGCCCCCGGGCGTGCGCGGCGCCCTGGGGGCCACGCCCCAGCTCATGGCTGTGTTCGGGTCGCTGTCCCTCTACGCCCTCGGTGAGTGGCGTCCAGGCAGCCCAGAGGCCCCCCCGCCCGGCCCCCACTGCGTGCACCCCCAGGCAGCCTCCCACCCGGCCCCGCCCCGCCCCGCCCCAGGGCACCGCCCCTGCCCTCTCTGGGCAGCGAGGGCTTCCCTGGCCTGACGGTGGCCGGCCAGGCGTCCCTCTGGAGAAGACCAGGACAAGGCTGGCGGGGGACGTGGGGTTTCAGGTAGAGGCCCGTCCTCCGGCAGCCCGCATGGCGCCGGCCTCCTCTGCCTGCTGCGCCCTTCCTGGGCGCCCGGCACCCCGC